TGTTTGTCTAATATTAACAATTATAAACAGAGCAGTGCAGCTAGTATTTGGAACAATCCTTGTAGTGTTACAGTGTCAGGCACAACACTTCACTTCTCTTCACACCACTGGTTCTCCTTGCATACCCGGACTTCCTCCTCTTCAGTAACATCATTTTTGACATTAAAAGTCTTGCAAATTTCCTCAGGAGTTTTCCTCTTGATCATATTGGCAACAGTCTTGAATGTAACATCAAGCAAACCTTTGATGTCTAGGTAGCTTGCTGCCAGAATAAGTTCAAAAAGGGTTCCTTGGTCAACTTTCAGGAATTCTTGGTCCAAACAGGAATGTCACCTGTTCACTTTTTTTTTGTTCTCATCATCCTCAGGAGGAGAAGGGTCATCCTTGTGGTGGGTACACCACTGAATGACCTTTTTAAATATTGCCGCATTAACATTTGGTAGAGGAACTGGGTCATCATCTCCTTCATCATCCATTCCTAAATCTGCCAACATGGTCTTGATTGTCATAGACTGTTTGGCAATTTCAACATCAACTTCAAATATTTTTCCATTAGAACTCTGCAACTTAATTGAAGTCATGGCATTTGGTCTCTAAACTGCAAGCCAGAGGCAGACGAAAGCAGGGAGATGTTTCCACTGGGTGGAGAAAGGTGGCGGTGGACGAAACCACTCATTTTTTCGTCTTTTTGAGACAGGCTTTCACTATGCAGTTAAGGCTGGCCTTGAGTTCACTTTGTAGCCCAGGCTGGTGTCAAACTTGCAGCAAGACTCCTGCCTCTGTCTCCCAAGTGCTGGGATGACAGGCTTGTGCCACCACGCCCAGCACAACCAATATCCTTACCTTATTAAAACAAAACAAAACAAAACAAAACAAAACAAAACAAAACAAAACAAAACAAAACTAAACTAAACTAAACTAAACTAAACTAAACTAAACTAAACACAGCCACTACAGCTGCTAGTCCAAACATTGCTGGTTCCCTCATCAGTGGGTCTTCTGCTGCAAAAATCAAAATGACTTATTCTGTGAGTAATTAGAGTGTGTTGCTATTATGTAAGTAGAGAAGATTCTACATATTTTGGACAATTCTTCCACTCTTTATAATTTTCTTTTGGAGTACTATTTCTAAAACTACTTAAAAATAAAGCTGTGGTTCTAGAAACACATATATGTGAGTTGAGAAAAAGTTATTCCATGATGATTCTGTACAGAATTCTGTACTGCTGCTGAAGTAGATGGGCCTTTCATACACGACAGGCTCAGTGCGTATTACGGAGGCGGTGGTGTGCAGTGTGCACTATTTGAATGTACACTGTTTGAGTGAATTTGACCACGCTCCTTCTGTTATAACATGCTCTAGGATGTAATTCAAGGAAAGCTATGCTATGATCCTGAAGACTGACTCTCCCATAGGTAGGAACACAGTCCTAGTACTGTTTAGAGATGACTGTGCTAAAGAGTTTCTTAAGTGTCTTCTAGACACATATAAAAACCTATTGCTATTTTTAGATAATAACACACAAAATGTGTGCATTTAATCTAGCTACAGAGCTATTTGAATGTGTACACATACATATGTATAGAGATGTATATTTTAAATAGACATGTAACATGCTTTCCTTACATATAGATATACCTAATATTGACTCATATCCACCTATTTATCCATCCAAACATACAGTTTAAATTTAAAAAAAAATGAGCTTCAGAAACAACTAATGTCAAAACTTTCAAAATAATTGAATGAGATATCCTGATATATATGCCCCTAAACACAATTTTGGTGTTTTTAAAATTTGTTATGTGACTTTTCGGAAAACTTGTTTTTATTATGCATTTGAAAAGAAATTATACTAAAAGGAAATTATCCACTTCAAACAAGTAAAGGGTAACAAATCTATGATGAAGTATCTAAACTGTGAAATGGGTGATCAGTGGAATTATCAATTAATACAATGTTTAGGAGAAGCATTCACTTCTAAACAAAACTCATTATTAGTACCACAAAATCCATGAGAAACATTTTTTTTTTAAAAATGTATTTAGTACAGGGTCTACAGGGTCACAATACACAAACTGGGCTTATAGTAATCCTCCTGTTTTCAGTCCCCCAAGTCCTGGGATTATAGGCATGCACCACCACACCCAGTCTTTATAGCTGTCTCATCGTGACCCGGGGACGGGGCCAGCATAGCATATCAGGAAGCGAGCCCCAGTCCCGCGTCTGCCTAAGCAGGTGTGTTAGTCCGTTGCGCTATCTAGCCAGCCCTGAGAAACATTTTTTAAATAAACTTTAGAGACTGATATTGGGATAGAATATAAAATAAAGTGGTATAAATTTAGGATAATTTTTAAACTAATGTAAGAGACAAAGATAACAATTACTATTTTAGAAATAGTGTATAATGTTACAGGTTATGAGTCTGATCATGCACAGTTAAGTAGAACAAACTGTGTGAAGTGTGTAACTGTTTAACACTTTGTCTTTTATCAAACTTAAAAGTTTGATAAAAATATTAATGTCTAAATTGAAGGAATTTTGTTACACTAAAAGAAGCAGCCATCACTCTTCCTTATTTTGAACATTCCCACCCTTCCTGCCATGTCCAGAAGCAGATCTATTAGTCTCTGTTCGTGTCTTTCCAACATGTGACTGCAGTGAATGCTGCTGCCTGTGCCACCTGAGGGAAAGGCACCAGCGTCCTCATCCACCCCATTCAGTGGACCTGTTACTGTGGGACTTCCCGCTCTCCTCCCAAGTCAAAATGACTGCGAAAGGTCACTGTTTTCAATTAATCCAGGGCACAGAGGCACCCAGAAGGCTCCACTGAAGACACAAAAGAACACATCTAGAACTGCTTCAGAAAGTGGCAAAAGGGCTCGGAAGATAGCTTGGTGAACTAAGCACCTGCCTCGCAAGCCCAACGTCCTGTGTTTGATCCCCAGTACTGCACACCATGCCATCTTGAAATTGGGTATGATGGTGCATGCCTATAATACTACAAAGTAAGACCCTGTATCAGGGCCGGAGAGATGGCTCAGTAGAATAAGCACTTCCCTGTCAACCGCAAGGGCCTGAGTTCAATCTCTGGTTCCACCAAAACAACAACAAAAAAGAAAGACCCTGTATCAACAACAACAAAAAAGAAAGAAAGAAAGAAAGAAAGAAAGAAAGAAAGAAAGAAAGAAAGAAAGAAAGAAAGAAAAGAAAGTGGCAAGAATGATAAGGTAATTGTGTTTATAGCATGGTAGAAGTACTACTGAGATTAATGGCAATGAGTCATTTACTGTAATAAAATACTTTCTAAATTTAAACATTTATCCTTTCAGTAACATATTATCGAGACATATTTCAATTAGTGAATTTGAAAAAATAAAAAATAGAATATAAGCAAGTTATTCTTCCAAAGCGAATAATTCTGCCATGTGTTAGTATAGCTTTTGACAAAAATTCTATATATGTAGATGTATAAATATATATGCCTAGGACCAGGGAGGTAGCTCAGGGACATAAGTACCTGCTTGGCAAGCACAAAGTCCTCAGTTCGATCCCAGGATGTGTGGAATATATATATATATATATATATATATATATATATATATATATATATATTCCACATATATCTACATTACATTAATTATATTACATATATTATGCATTTATTTTACAGGGACAAAAATGTATCTCTTAATGCATGTGATTTTGTGAGACAACTTAATCATCAAAATAGTTTATATGGGATACCAATTCTCCAACAAAATCAAGTTGATCAAATAATACAAGAATCTTTGCTTTCACATGAAAAATTTCATTGAAGGAGTTGAGTAAGAAGAACAACTCTGCTTCATTCCTTTCTATCTGTAATCTGACTTGTAGTCAAGGTAACTCTGGGCTCCTGTCTGACAGAGGAATTATCCTATGCTAAAGTGCTAGGATTCGCATCACCCTGGGCATCAGCATCAGCTTGCCAATTTTCTTCCACAATCATTCAGCTTTCTTTCACTCAAAAAATCACTTTAAACCAGACAAACTGTCTTCTATATTCCTAGGGGAGAAATTTTGACACCTATACCCTTAGTTTTCATGGAGATCAAAAAATGCAATTCATTCACGCTGCTCCGAATGATCATTACCTGGAAAAAGTACCAAGGAAGGTTGTGTTGCCATGTTCCCTGTGGGGCCGCTGAATGCCCCGACACCATCCCCACTGCCAGTGCATGTCCCTGCTGCCAACACCTACATTCCAGGGTTACAGCACTGTACTTCTCTTATCCTTTGCTCTAACACAGTGCTTAGGTGGCAACTTCTACTTAACACACGTAGCTTTCAACCTGATATAGAGTAGGGAGCCTGAAAATAATTAAACCCCAGAAATATGTGTGTAATGAATAATCTTGCTTATTAAATGCCTACAATTTATTATGATGTAATAGATTAGTCCTAATATATTATGCTGTTACTGATCAATTTTTCATACTTTCTGGGGCATTTCTGAGCCATATTTGTACATTAACCTATCTTGCTATCTCTTCCTCCATCCATCCATCCATCCATCCATCCATCCATCCATCCATCATTTATCTAGGTTCAGTAGGGGGGTTCATAAAAACAGATTATTTCGTGTTAGAAAAATACAGGTTAGAGATTTAGAAAGTGTCACACATTCTGAAATGCATCATTTCAAAACACCAAGTAATGTTGCACACACCACTTAGGCGGCAGACAGTGTCACTCCATAGGCTTAATGATCCTCTTATTCCTGCCCCACACCTTATGTATCCAACAGAGGCTGGGTTTGAAAATAATTAAAATGGATAGCATTAATTTGGAAATGTGAAAACTCTCATGAAGTTATTTTACAACACGTTCACTTCTTAAGAGGTTCGACGGTACTTTCAAACTTATACAGTAAGGTGCTATTATTTATAACTTTATCATTGCACAGAGTATGCTTTTAAATGCTAATCTAAGTGCGATGCTTAGTTACGTGTGCATGGTATTTAGACACGGTCATATTCTCTTGAGTTCAAACGACTCATTTCTAAATGAAATATATGAGTAACAACATAAGCCAAGTAAGAAAATAATCAACCTATGCTCAAGAATTAATTGGAAGCTTTAGCCTATAAACTTTTAAGCTGATTAGCTGATGTAATTAGCTTAATTGGCTGACTTAATTAAATTCCATTTTTTGTTTAAACTTCACTAAACATTTGAAATGAATTTAGAGGAATGTCATATTGAATATAAAATATGGAATGCAGCCAGGCGTAACTTGCTACTTCTTCATAGATTAATTAGTACTATCATGATATTTACTTTGATATGATGTGTGATTCTAATACGTATTGTTCAAATTTGCAATCCTAAAAGAAACATATTTAGATAAAACATTGAATATATTTGTCAATGTTTTAAGTGCATTTATTTAAAGAATATTTTTATTAATATTATCTTTGCTCAACAAATCATAATCATGTACAATTAGAGGGTACATGCTACATTTTGATATAGATATCCAATGTCCAAGCATCAGGTTGCGATATCTAACACATCGATCACCACGCACACCTATAAATCTCCACGCTAAGAAGTTTCAAATTCACCCTTTGTATGTTTTAACATATGTGTTATTAGTTTCTGGAGTCACTCACTGTGCCACTGAAATCACAATCTATTTTTCTTGTCTACCAAAAATATTGGACCCTTTGGTCAACAGCTTCCAGGCTTTCCTCCCTCCCGCCACTCTTCCTCTAGCCCCTGTAAGCCACCATTCTCCCATTTCAATTTCTTAAGATTCCACATATAAGTGAGATTGTATGGGATTAGTCTTTCTGTGGTTGGTCCACTTTATTTAGTATAATGTTCTTCTATTTCATCAGTCATTTTGCAGTTATTTTTTTAAAGGTCAAACAACATTCCATAGGGTATATATGCCACATATATATGTGTGTGTGTGTGTGTATTTTATATATACATATATGTATATATTTGATATTATTTTTGCTCAACAAATCATAATTATATATTATATATATATGTATATATTTTAATCCTTTCATCCAAGGGGGAAAGTGAGGTTGCTAAGTCCACCAGTTAAAATGTTGATGCTTTTGAGATAAATCTCTGGTATAAGGACATCAGCCCTCATTTTACAAAGCTTTTTGTTAGTGAATTATGAATGCCCCACCCGAGCAAAGTTTCCTAGCCCTAACATTTCCAGCTCACTATAGAGTTTAGCTTAGTCTGTGTAGAAGAATCGCTCAACTGAAAATCTTCCTAGCACACCACTGTCAAAATAGTTTTCCTGTAAAAACCTACTTTCCAGTTGGCTGCGCAACAAAATGGCATAGAGCCTGAAGCTGCTACTGTCCTCAGCAAATCAAAGAGCCAGATGCCGACCCCAAGTTACCCTGACCCACGTGTGATCTGTACCTAAGTGCTTCAGGTTCTACGCTCAAATCTGTGTCCGTGCCTGTCTATGGGTGTCGTGGGAAGACGGGAAGAAAGAGTAAGGAGGGGACATCTGCAGACAATCACTTAATTGAAGAACAACACAAAACCACTTTCTTCACTGGTTGCATTCTCAACTATGATACTCCGCTACCCTCTGAAGGCTGTACATACTATTTTACAAAGCAGAGACACAGTGTGCTATTATGTTTCTAAACTAAAAAGGCATATTAAGCCCTATAGGAATACTCTGCATGGTTACAACACTTTTTATTTCTGTTTAAATTTATTCACACTTGTCTTATTTTGTCATCCTGCTGCAAAAAAATTGCTTTTGCAGTATGAATTAAATATTCAGACTATGGACTCATCCAATAACTTAATTTCCTACAGTTCTTTTCTATTTCATTTACATTACAAAATGGTATTTCCATTAGCCCACATGAGATTTACAAAAGGATAGATTAGTACAGTCATTTTAGTATATTATTTTAAAGCAAAATGCACATTTTAAAAATGATGGGAATTATTTGAGACTCATGAAACTAAAAGAGGCCTCCAGGGATTACTTTGGCCTGCCATCCTGGTAGTCTAGTGAGCCGTTCATCTCCATGCTGGTATTACCTCCTGGAACAAATTCAAAGGATGGAATCTGGCCCAAACTGCACACCCTCCAAAACTGTAAAGAGACCCCTGGGAAAAAGATATACCAATGTTTGCACACTTAAACTTGTAAACCAATATATATATAATATTTTGAAGAGGATTTTTTTTTTACTACTTTGGTTACTTATTTTGAAGACCAGTAAAAAACCCAGGGGCATACAAGTGAAATTCCTGTGGTTCTATACTAATGTAAATGAGAGAACAGGCGATCAACACCAATGGATCATTTAAACTCATGTATTTAAAGACTACCAAGAATAAACTGCTAGCCTCCTTTGTTTAAATCTAAATCAGACGTTTATGTGGATCATGTTTTCACCATCATTTCTAGTAACTCAGAATTTTCTTATTTACATTGTCTCTTTCACCAATTTATCTGAAAGCAAAACTATTGGAAAGCTTCCTGTTTAATATAAATCGAGATTTTTTTTTTCTATTCTATCTTCAGCTATAAAATTGGTGCTGATTAATACATAAACCCTTTCTTCTTTAGCAAAGGCTGTTTTAAATCTTTATTAATGCTTTTCTCTATCCCTTTACAACCAGTAGTTGTTATAAGAAGCCTCTCTACTGCATCTAATGCATATTTTCAGGTTCTTAGTGTCTGCACCTTCTCTCTCTCTCTTTTTTTGACAGCAGATTTTATTTTACCTTATTGCTTCTCTCCAAATCTATCTTTTGCCAAATACACACCCTTTGCTGAAAAACACAAACACACACCCCAATGGTGGTCTTACAAAGAAAAATAAAATAAGAAGCAAATTATAAACCAAGAAGAACAATACAAACAAAGCTTAAATGATAGTGTATGAAAAGATTTATGGGTAGGCAGAGATTTTAATTTTAGAAGATGGATAATTTAAGTCAAAATCAATACATGAAAGACAAATTTCATCTTGATATGAAATTTTTTCACACTGCTATAAACCTTTTAAGAGATGTGTAGGAGCAGAGCCATAAGAAAGAGTCTTCAGGTAACCTCTGCAGGTCACTTTGCCCTGCTAAGTTCAGTTGTAAGTCATATAATTCCAATGATGCTGCTCCTCAAAATATAAAACTGGAACATTTCCATGATATTTCAAGTATCACAGCTTACATTTATTTTGATTTTGTCAGAAATAAGCTCTAAAATTAGCACTGTTAAAAAATGTATTTAACGGAGACCTGGGGTTGATCTAAATTTTGTAACTTCTCTTTGATCACGAGATGGATGGTTTACAACTCTAGCTTCCAAGTAGCCTCAGCAAATAGCTTAAAGCCTAGGTTAACAACGGAAGGTGGCTCCTTGATTCTTTTCAAACAAAATCATAAGGCACTTTAGCATTCCTTTCTAATCTTTTATCTGTTTTTGAAGGAGTTCATAGTGGTTTGAGTTTATTTTTAAGTTTTGTTGATACTGGGGTTTGAATCCAGGTTCTTCTCTCTGAGTCATATCCCCAGCTTTTCTTTTTTTTTTTTTCAAAGAGGATCTTACAAAATCACTAAATTTCCCAGGCTGGGCCCGAACTATGGTCATCCTGCTTCAGCCTTCCATAATGCTGGGATTATAGGTGTGCACCAGCACACTTGGATGAAATTTTACTTAGTGTTAAAAAAGATACTTACTACATACTTACTCAGGGATGCTTTAAATTTTGAAAAATTGTTAAAAGTCCCAACATCCCCTTTTTAGAAAAGTGCCAAGCATTATTACCCTTACTTTGAAAATAAACAATAATAAACTATTGCACATATATGAGTTTACACACATTAATCATGTCTCTGAGCATACAACGGGCACTGCCAATGAAACCCCGACTTGATTACATTTGAACACACAGCAAAAAAGACTCTTCAGGAATAAAATTTTCATAATCATTCTATTTTGAAAAAAACTGAAGAGGTAATGTACAATACTATGTTCACTATGTCATGAGGCAGTATCTGAATAATTAGCATGTGTTCTGGCATTTTTCCAAATTGGTCAGTTAGGGAAGGATACAATGTTGTAGAGCTCTACAAGAGGTAGAAATGTATAGAATTCATTCACAAAGATAACTCTCACTGATAATTTCGGTTGGGGGAAAGTGCTAGGTCTTACCCAATGTGTGTTGCTTCTGTCCTTCCTTCACCAGTGAATATACACCTTGCAGCCAGTATGTCACCAAAGCTAACTTCTACTGGGTGTTCCACTGGGTAGAAAGCCTGGCCAGAAGACAAGTGTAAGAATTCATGAACATTATCAGCACTACCCAGAACCGCGTGCTGGAATACTGTGAGGCTGGGAATAGCACGGGTGGCGAGAAGGAAGACAGACAGACAGACAGACAAGCTTCACCTTTAGTTAATTCAATCCTACTTTATGGCCCAAGTCACAAGATTTTGAAATAAACAAGCCATTGTTTACAAATACAGTCCAGCAAAAGCAGAATAAACGCAACAGGAAAGAAGATTTTGCCAACATGTTGAGACAGTACTGAGAGAATTAATAGGTAATACACCAAACTGGAGCTTGTTAAGAACTACAAATGTTATATACCCAGCCATGGAGTGAAGCAAAATTTGGAGACTATTAGATTCTAGAAAAATTAACAAGAGTTACAGAAAGATTTCTAAAAATTACTCTTGGTCAATAATATGTTACCCTCTCAAAATCAACTCCAATCCTACGTACCTGTGGCAACTGGGGACTCTGGCGTCCAATGCGCGTCCACTCTCCGTTCCTGACTCTGTACCCACTCACGACCTTACCTGCGCAAGCAGAGTGACACAACACAGAAGGGGTTAGGAAAAAGACATCTCTACCCTTCCTTTTGAAAATAACACCTGATTATTTTTGGAACCGCAAATACTGAATGTCTTTAAAAAAATATGATGAAACCACAGAAAATTACCTTCACTGAAGCGGAGTCCAGCATAACTTGCATTTTACACTTACAGGGCAAGTAAGCACAGAGACGACCACTGACCATCTCAGTGCTGACACAACTTAAGGTTCTTACCTAAGTGGTGAGTGTGAACTCTGTAGGCAAACACGTGCATGGGGTACGTTTTATAATGGCATGAAATGTCCGAATTCACCACTGCGGGAAACAGAAACAGACAGAAAAGTCACTATTCAACTGGAAAACAGCACCCTTGCCTGAAGTAACATATAAGGGATTTGTAAGATCCTCCCCATTGGGTGGGCTCCTCTTCCTCTCCCTCTCTCTCCCTCCCTCCCTTCCTCTCTCTCTCTCTCATCAGGATCCTATTAGATTGTTCAGGCTTGTCCTGAACTCACTATGTATGCAAAGCTGGCCTCAAACTCCCAGCGATCTCCTGCTTCAGGCTCCCGAGCACTGGGATTGCAGGCATGCGCCGCCACATCTGGCAGCGCTTTTTTATGCACTAAATCCACACTCAGTACTCAGCCAACGCTCGACACTTACTCAGTGTCACTCATTTTACCAAGATGAACTAAGAATCTCTTGCTTCACCTCTTTATTTCATTCATAAAAAAATAACCAGGAACAAATCAAAATATACTTTCTGTGAAAGCACAGACTTATTTTACTACCTTTACCTAAAATGCTACCCAGGTGGAAAACCTTAAAAATTGTTTTCTTTCATTTCTGGAACAAAAGGATGTTTGAAAACTGGAGCACAGTCACTGCAGATCACTGGACTGGTAGTGCATCTTGAGAAGAGACCACTCATAGGTCTCTTTCTTTATGGTATAACTCATAGTGCTACTTGGATAAATATTTGTTTTAAAACTGATAAATGAAGAGCAACAAAGAGACCACACTGGCCATTACCTTTAAAAGGCTTCTAGTAAAAAAAAAATAATTAATGGAACACTTCCATTAGAGGGTTTTTAGAAATGCTGATAATTACCCTCATATATATTCTCATAGATTTTCATCACTTAGCAGAATCAGCTATTTTATTCCTGCTTTGCAAACATGCAAATTAGTAAACCTAAGTCCAAAATGGAGCAGTGTTTTCACCAGCCTCTCAATTTAAACCTTTCCACGCAGTCACTCATGCCACTTAACATTCTGCAATTTTTCTACTGGAAGAGTGGACGATTCATCTGTAACTGTACTCATGTATTATTTACTTTACCCAACCCACCACCTCCCTGCTGGCCTCAACCATGGCATCTCAATAAATAAACATTGGAAAATTAATAAAGCATTGGCTTAGAATAATACCAAAGTCTATTTTAAATTCATGGGTAATAAAAATTGGTTTATTTTTCAGATAAAATTCTGCTCAGGTCCAAAGTTTAGGAAAACATATTGGAAATCCATTGTTATACATTAGCTGGGAAGTAAAGGTAAATAGGAGGAGATCAAAACTCACCTTTCTCTCCTGGGGGTATAACAGTGTCAACAGACATCATAAGGTACATGCCAGCAATTAGAGGCTGTCTGTGGAAAAAGGTAGTGATTTTTCTCAATTATTTGACAAAGCTGAAGTAATCATCCTAGAAATAAAGGTCTGTAAAATGTGATTCTTTTGATAATTAAGATGAAACATCATGCATAGGGAGGTACTGTACATACACACATATATGTAATGTTTCTGTATGTGAGGCTGTGTAAAGGCAGACTACACGCGGTTCCTATGGCAACTACTTTCACATCAGCTTGGTGAGGCTGTGGTCCTGGCTGCTGGCTCAAG